TCATATTAAATAACATTTATTTTATTTATTTATTTCAAAAAGTGGTTCCCACTGACTTCAATTGTATTTTTGTCCAAAGAAACTACGTATTTTTATATATAAAATAAAGACAAATTTATTTTGGGGGGGGGATATATATATATATTATTGTTTTTTTTTTATATCTCATGTATATATTTTTGTCTTTAGAAACCCTAAAATATATAAATGAAGTTTATAGTCTATAGAAACCCTATATATCTTCTATGGAGTTCCAAAGAACAAAGAAAGGCATACAGGTTTCAAACAACATGAGGGAACGACACACCATTTTCATTTTTGTGTGAAATGCCCCTTTAAGAATGTCTAGCATAAAACCATGACAACAAATTTCAGTTTGAGTGCTCTTGAAGAACAACATCTCATCATGAAACTATTTAAAACTGAACTGATCAGTCATTACTTCATCCTTCATTATTTATATCATTCTTCATTTGTCTTGTTACGAGGAAGAACTAAACTGAGGGGAAAACCAGACAGGCTACAACTAATAAAACATGCGAGTCATGCGAGTCCAGCGTGTCATAGCCTGTCTGCTGCAGCCCACCGAAGCGTAGAAACCCCTCCAACACAAAACCATATCATTATTTTACGCCAACGTTGGAAATTCAGGAGAAGTTCACAGATTCGCTCTCATTTGACTGCTCTGTGCTTCTCGGCAGGTCAAAACCTGCAAAAATGCCACAGTATGCTCTAATGCTTTCAGTTCCCATCAGACCTTCTGGCTATATATTTTGATACTCCAAAAAACCAAGCTTTTAAAGGCCTGAAAAGTGAAACACACAACAGAAATGCATTTAATTTGGCTTTTTACTGTTTTTCAATTATGCATCTTTTATAGAGGCCAAGTTTTTAAGATTCAAAGCAGTTTTAATCAAATGAATGAGGGCCACACGTGGGCTACTAAAATATTGCTGTTGCCCACACGACAGGTCAAAACCAAATCAAATAGCTCTGGAGGCGTATGCATACTGTTTTTTTGAGGGTGAACTAGTATAATTTATGATTCACTTCTTTCCCTAGAGAAGATATAACATGACACAAAAAATATACACTTTTTAACTTTATGTTTAACATGTAAGGTGACCCAACATTGTAGTATATTATATGTTACAATTTAACACCACAAAATATAATATAGTATATTATTCTATTTTTTAACCAAACATTTTGAACGACACTTAGCAATGACAAATAGCTTTTATTCCCTAAGATATATGAGAATAGCAGCCACACAACACACACCTTTAGCAATGTCTTCAGTGGTCCAGCTGTCATCCAGTCTGGTCTCATTCCCTGAGGTCCACAGACCCCGATCATCCAGCCACCGAGGTGTCCAGATCGCATAGCTGATACACAAACAGCCCATCAAGCCGAGACAGGATTCAGTAAATCGAAAACGACTCCTCGAGTCGACCAGTTCTGGTCCTTGCATCGCTCTGTTGAGAAAAAGCGAATGGTTAGATATAACAATAACATAAAGTTGCCAGTTTAGCTGGAAACTAAACTTAAAACATTACAGTTGGTAATTTCAGACAAAATTAGGTAATCATTGTTAGGTTTGCTTACCTTAAGTCTTTAAAATGTGTTCAAATGACAGAGATTTGATTCCACGCAGTCCAATGACAGTAACTGATCACGTTCAAATATCAAATGAATCAGAGAAACAGAAACTTGAGTGTTTTATGACGAGGTACAGAAGCATCTCTCACTTGCCCCTCACAATGCTGTAAGACACTGTAAATATTTCCCTCTACCCACAGTGAAGACCAACTCGCTATGGAAACTCCCCCTCTCATAAACATACACACATACACTGTGAGTGCTTAAATTCCCCCAGAAACCCTGCGAGTGTTTCAGTGAGTCAGTGTGGTTTGGAAAGTGAAAATGATATTTTATAAATCACTTTACTGTGCTCAAAGGAGTCTGTGGGCTGGCTCCATGAGTGCCATCTATTATTGCCTTGTTTAAAAATATATGTATATAATGATTATTATACTTTTTATTAGATTACTATATATAATAATAATAATAATAATAATAATACATTTTATTTATAGGCACCTTTCTCAACACTCAAGGACACCGCACAATAAATGTACAAACAAGACAATAGAAAACAAACAAGAAATACCATATATAAAGACAAAACAGAGTAAAGTATGACGAGAGAATTAAACTTTAGGTGAGATATGCAATCTTAAACGGTGAGACTTAAGTCTAGATTTAAAAAGAGATAGAGAGTCAATATTTCTGAGGTCTGGTGGTAGTGAATTCCAAAGCCGGGGAGCAGAGCAGCAAAATGCCCTGCTCCCCATGGTGGAGAGGCGAGCAAAAGGAACAGTAAGGTGAAGAGAAGAAGCAGATCGAAGTGAGCGAGAGGGAGTATGGATATGGAGGACAGACTGGAATTGTCTATTACTATATATATATAGTTTACTAGATTATATATATAGATGCGTGTGTGTATATATATATATATATACACACACACAGTTGTGCTCATAAATTTACATGCCCCTTGCAGAATATGCAAAATGTTAATTTTAACAAAATAAGAGGATCATGAAAATTGCATGTTATTGTTTATGTAATACTGTCCTGCATAAGCTATTTCATATAACAGATGTTTATATATTCTCCACAAGGCAAAATAATAACTGAATTAATAAAAATGACTAATGCATTAAGATCAAGAGGGTGTAAACTTTTGAACAGGATGATGTGTCATTTTTGTCTTATTTTGTTTAATGATCATATTTTTTTTCATTTGGTACTGCACTTAAGAAGCTACATAAATACTTAAATGTTTCCCAGAAGACAAAATAAATACAGTTTACCCTGATCATCCAATTCAAAAATTTGACACCCCCCCAGCTCTTAATGGATTGTGTTGCCTTCTTGAGCATCAGTAAATGTTTTCACCTTATATAATAGTTATGTATGAGTCCCTCAATTGTCCTCAGTGTGAAAAGATGGATCTCAAAATCATACAGTTACTGTTGGAAAAGGGTTCAAATATGCAGAAAATGTCGGAAAACCAAAGAATGTGCAGGAGCTGGAGGATTTTTCTAAAGAACAGCAGGCAGTTGAACTGCTCAGGACCAACAAGGGACTCATGAAAACTATCACAAAACAGAAAGACAGTCGTGGATCATCCAGGAAACGACACACAGTATTAAGATTCAAGGGTGTGTAAACTTTTGAACGGGGTCAATTTTTAGAAATTCAGTTATTAATTTTGTCTTGTGGAGAATATATAAACATCTGTTATGTGAAATAGCTTATTCAGGACAGTATTAAATAAACAATAACATGCAATTTTCATGATCCCTCTTATTTTGTTAAAATTATCATCATTTTGCATATTCTGCAAGGGGCATGTAAATTTATGTGTGTATATATATATATATATATATATGCACACACACACATATTAATATATGTATGCATACATATATGTGTGTGTATATAACTACATAACTTTTTTTAAGCTTTTTACTTTTTTGCTTCTTTTAGTAGTAAGCGACACAACCTGAACCACAGTAACTGTAGCAATACATCAGGAGAGTTGCTGTGTCGTCATGGCAACGAATAAACGGCACAGGAAAGAACCACTCTTTAATCTCCAGCAAGGTGGGCTCACAGGAAACCCATAAACATGGTTATTTCCTGTTGCTCGCTTTCTGCCACAGACCTCAGGTCAGCTTTGCCCTACTCTCACCAATACAAGCGAGACTGCGGCATCTGATCTCAGGTCATTGTAAAGGAGCAACATAACACAATGAAAATATAATTCAACATAAAACATTTTAATTGACGATGGATTGATTGATTCATTCGTTCAGTCAGGAGCCCTTAAAACGTCAATGAACAACACCAATGAAGATCTGAAACAAGGCATTTTCCTTGGAAGCTGAAAACTGATAAGCAACCATGGTGTCAAAAAAAGGCATTTTTGGAACAAATTCATCTTGTAAAGATAAGAAGTGTCAAAAAGTAAATATACACATCCACTTTTATACTGAAACGGACAGCCAAGTCAATTAAAACTTTTTTCCCCTCAACAAAATCTTTAAATTATTTAAAATCAATTTAGAGGGGTCATATCATACATTATTTTCCCCCTGAGGTTTACAGTGTAATGTTAGTATATATATATTTTTTTTGTGTGTGTGCCAAAAACAGTCATTTACAGGAAAAAAACAAAAAAAACATTTTACACTCTCTCTGAAATATTAAAAGGTCTGTCTGGTGCTTTGCCTATAGGACTTTCATATAAAAACGAGCACCAGGACTTTGCATTTACACACGGGCGGTCAATAAAGTTATTCTTCAATAAAAGTCTCTTTTCAACGCTGAAACTGATTTCTGCCGCTCAAACTGTTAAGATCTGACTGAAATGATCAGGGATCTAGTTAAAAATGAACATCTGCCTCTCGTTTCTAATGTTGGGATCCTTTGGAAGGACGTGCAGAGTTGTAGGTGCTACACAGAGTTAGAAACACTGCAAAAATGCTTCTTAATGAGTATTTAATTAGTCTTTTAAGTAAAATATCTAAAAAGCCTTAAAACTAGATAAATTTACTTAAGAAACAACACTTCATAAGATATGAATACTTGTCATAGACTCTCTTGAATAGCATTTTGTCTTGCTGCACTATCAAATAAAAAATACTTGTATTAAAGATATATTATGCAGTGCTGTTTCTTAAGTAAATCCATCTTGTTTTAAGTTTTTTTTAAAATATATTTTTACTGAAAAGTCTCATTTAAAAACTAATTTTAAGAATAAAATTCATTAAGAATATTATTAAAAAAAAATTTTGCAATGAGAAGCAAATTTTAGGTTCTGAAATTTACAATATATTTCCCTTATACAAAATTCTAATTAAAAAAAAAATTGATCCCTCACAATAAGACCCCTTTAAATCAACTCAAAGACAATAGATTGGATGCTTAGAATTTGATATGAGCGCAATTAAAGGGGCAGTCTCCAATTACTGTGACAGCTAGGGTAATAATTAAAGTACAAAAACATCCAACAATAACATCACTTTCATATACTGCTGTGGTGACTCTCCATAATTGTTTCAATCTCTAATTACAGGGATCGCCACTGTGTTGTGTCTGCAATTAACAGAGTTTGCCTTTAAACTGTACATAAGGTGAAAGTATCTTTCATAAAAAAAAAGTATTTGACAGATGCGTTGCTCAGACTTGTTTCTACCAACTGTTACTCTATTTCCTGGCTTTATCGAGCAGGTCTGTGAAAACATCCAATTGTGTTGGGTCTTGTCCAGCACCTAGCTCAGGCTTGTGCTTCTCCAGCCAATCAGACGTGTGGATCTGCTGTCGCAGAGTACCAATCAGAGAGTCCAGACTCTCTGAGCGGATGTCGGATTGGCCATTAATAACTGTAAAGTTCTCATCAGCCAATGAGACGGGCTCTGTCTTAATGTGTACTGTGTCAAGTTTGGTTTGAACGCTTGAGGTCTTGAGTGTCTGCTCTTTGCACTCATCTATTGTCTTAGTGTCTTCCCTCTTCGCTGTCCCAAGGCTGTCATCCTGTTCGTCACTTGTTGTGCGCTGTGTCTCAAGCACTGAAGAGCCCTGAAGTTCTTCTAATGCATTTTTAATCCTCTGCACACCTGAAAAACAAGGATTTGAAAGGAATAACTGCCAATCACATCTAATCCCACTCCATAGGAGACACTACAAGAAGACAGGAACTGAAATGGAAATGAGCGATCGACAGACCTAGCTTTAGTTTGTGCAGTTGATCAGTGAAGATGATTCTGAACCAGCCTGGAGACACACAGCTGAAGGCCTGACCGCAGCTCAGCAGAACCTTGTGCTTGAGGAAACACCTCCACAGAGACAGCTCCTCAGCAAACGTCTTCTCACTCAGATACTACACAAACACCAAAACAAAACTTGAAATCGGGTGAACTTGAATGATTTCAAGAGTTTGGATGCAGAAATCTGTTCTAAAGGTGCTCACCTTGCTCAAGTCTGCCCAGATGAAGAAACCCGCACTCCTGTGCAGGAAAGGTATGTCCAGTTTCTTCAGCTCTTCTGTCATGAAGCTGTGAGCCTCTCTTAGCCTTTGTCTGTTCTCTGGAAGGAACTCACTATTCAGCCAGTCTGGAAACAGCAAGAAATCTCCCTCAGTTAAGTGCTGTTGTGAATTAATCATTCTTGTCAATTGTGACCCTGGACCACAAAACCATTAAGTCGCTGGGGTATATTTATAGCAATAGCCAAAAATACATTGTTTGGGTCAAAATTATAAATTTTTCTTTTATGCCAAAAATCATTAGGACATTAAGTAAAGATCATGTTCCATGAAGATATTTTGTAAATTTCCTACTGTAAATATATCAAAACTTAATTTTTGATTAGTAATATGCATTGCTAAGAACTTCATTTGGACAACTTTAAAGGCGATTTTCTCAATATTTTGATTTTTTTGCACCCTCAGATTCCAGATTTTCAAATAGTTGTATCTCGACCAAATATTGTCCTATCCTAACAAACCATATATTTCAGATGGTGTATAAATCTCAATTTCGAAAAATTGACCCGTATGACTGGTTTTGTGGTCCAGGGTCACAATTAATCAATCTAAATGATCTGTTCATGAAATACACTGTTACTGTATTTGGGTTTAACTCAGTGACTCAAGATACAAATCATGTTCTCACGCAGTGAAAAATACATCGTGGAGCAAAGAGAAAACCGACAACACGCCGACAGACAAGACCGAGCAGGTTACTTTAAGTATGAAACAAAGGCTCAGCTTTCACATTTTTTTCATTTAAGAAATTCAAACAATATTGTTTTGTGACTCTTTAATGTGTCGTGACAGATCGCTGTAGCGCCTCAGTTCAAGCGGCACGTGAAGCAATCATCTCTTCCTCTTTACTAGTTATAGCATGAAATAAACATGAATGAACATCAGAAGGTATCGTTTCAATCACGGAAAGACGCCACTAAACACCATTTTTCAAGATCAAGTTCCTGCCTGGTTTGTTTGTCGGACAAAAATGGCAGATTCAGCGTTATGATTGGTCAAATCACCTGTCAATCAAAATCCCTGTGAAGGGTAAATTGCGCACCAGAAGGGAAGTTTATCAGTGAATAATGACTTAAATTTTGGTCTATTTATCATTTAAAGCAATTGTACAGCTTCAAATATAGTCATATAGACCATTTTTATGATACTTTTGCAGTGCAATCAGTCCTAATTTATCACAATTACAAAACACACACTGTGCAGTTAAAAGTACAAACTTTAAGTATGAATCAAGCCAGTACACCAAAATTGTAGTATTCTAAAAGCGCATATAGCGCAAAAGGTTAATGGTACATTTACATGACAACAATGTACTAAAAAAAGTTTTTTTTTTTTGCATTTTGAAAAGTTTCATGTATACAGACAAAACATTGTTGTCAAATGACTCCCATTTACACGGAGCCATGAAAATGACAAAAAATGCTGTATTATGCATGCCAGGCCAGTAGTTCGCGATGTCACTTCGTAAAGAAGCACTATGCGGTATGCGCCTATGCACAAACTAGGGATGCACGATAAATCGCATGCGATATTTAATTCGCATCTTGTCAGAAAAGCCGGTTCTGTAATCAGCGGTAAATCTCCATCACGTGCGTGCTTTCACATTGAGCAGCATTAACTACACAGAGCCGTTGTTCACTGACGAGCTGCGCAAAATCATTAAGCAGAAAACTAAGTAAATTAGAATTTAAAAAGCACAGAAATAAGAGAGAGAGACAGTTTATGTGAATGTCTCTCACCCATCCAAGCTGAGAACACTGCGAAACGTGTCTGTCTCGTTGAACACGGAGAGCATGTAAATCTCATCCACGATCACATGAAGCTTGTGCCTGGAGCAAATGAGAGAGAAAGAATGAATAAATTAGTGCCGCTGAGGGCAGAAATTCAAATTCAAATGACATTCGTGAACACAAATGTAATTTCTCGTCAATAGCGTGCAACGTAATGAAGCATGTGAAAACATTTGGAAAACAAAGTGCGATCACAGACCCATAGGTTTGGCAACCAGAAAGTTTTTCATCATTTACTCATCCTCATGCCATTCTAAAACTTTTTTGAAGAACGCCGTTTTCCCTACAACAAATAGGGTGCCAAGCTCTGAAGCGCAAATGTGATTTTTGATACTTTTATGGTAGTTCCTCATCTCTGCTCAATAAATGTTTTTATTATATGGAAAAAGAGCAGCATAAACATTCTTCAAACCATCTGTTGTGTTACATTAAACAAAGTTATGTGGGTTTTGTAATAACATGCCATTAATATTTCTGCATTGATAAAATGTCACTGGCTTCCAGATATTAAAAATCTGAATGAACCAGTGGCTTTGGTTCAGTGCTTGTAAGAAACAGTTTAAACTCACATTTTGGCAAACTCTAGAAAGTTGATCATCTCTTCAGACGAGTACACTTCTCCCAGTGGATTGTGGGGGTTTAAAAGGATAAGGGCTTTGATGTTCAGTCCCTATATAAAGAACATACAATTTTAAGAGAGTCACACAATGTGAGTTTCAAGCGTGTACACGGTATATTTAAGTAAAAAAAAAAAAAAAAACACCTCTTTTTTGGCCTCTTTAAGAGAGTTCTCCAATTTCTCGACAGTTAGCTGGAACGGTCTGACATCACTTCCTGTGGGGCGCGTTAAATATCGCATGCGATTTATCGTGCAGCCCTAGCACAAACCTATAAACTATACATGTACGTATGCATTTCCACAAATTTGCATGTTTTTTAAGGTTACATGGAGACAACAACAGTATGGTTTTAAAAAAACTTGCACTTTGAAATCTGTTTTCAAAAGTTTACATTTTCTGGCCCACAAACACAATTTTTGTGTAAATGAAAGGCCAAGACGCATACACAGTTTTCCATTTTTAGTTGAAAACGGTGTCACGTAAACACCCCCTAAGTCTATAAAAGCATAGAAAAAAAAAACAACAACCAGAAAAAGTATACCATCCTTTTGACAGTATGATTTGGGACACACCAACACTAATTTTACGTACTAGACAGGATGAAATGTATGGGAATTGTGAATCAGCCATAGAGTGAAAAACAGACAAAACATTGACAAAGCCAGGGAGAAAATGTGTACCTCTGTCTCTGAGAAGCTGTGCCATCTGGTACTGTGTGGGTCCTGGGACTCCGTGGAAGCAGCCCAGCTGATCCAGGGCCTGAACCAAATCTCTATTCTCAGAATAGACCATGCCAACTCGCATTCCTGACATAGCAAAGTCCTATATGCATACACAACAACATTTGAATGCAATAAAACAATGCCAAGAATCTGAGGAAATGCTTTTCCCACAGTTGAAATAGTGACATACCTTACTGACGCCCCACATAATGTGGGTTCTTTGGGCATCTGGCAACCTGTGGAAAAATTTGTGATGATTAGAAAAGCAATATTCACATGTACCTAGGGCTGGACGAGTTGCTGGACGAGTTGCTGCAGAAAACAGAAAAAAAGCGAAAATGCAAATTCATTCTGCCAGCAGGAGGCGCTTTTGGAGCGGCAGAATCATCGTTTTCTCCAGCTGTACACAAAGTGCTCTGCTCATAAATGCTACTTTATCAGATAAAATGAAAATGACATCGAAACTTTTCTGAAGGCAGTCTGTTCCCTTCAAAGATACATTCATATAAAACACGGCACGTTTTGATTTTGAAACGTGCAGTGCTCATGTTTATTCAACGAAGTCAAACTGTCAAAGCTTTTTGGAAAATCTATTTGTGGCGATCGGTCTCATTTACATTTTAAAATACATGAAAATGGAAAACATCTCTTTTAAATTGTAACAATAATTCACATTATTACCCTTTTTCCTGCAGTTTTGATCAAATAAATGCAGCCTTGGTGAGAAAATGAAAAAATCTTATAACCCCAACAAAATTAGACATGAGACCAGACATATTCAGTGGCGACCAGATGGTTTAATACCTTCTGGGTCACAGAGCGTAGCTGCCAAAGCCGAGAACAGAGACCCACAACCGTTCATAACAACGACCTGCGAAAGAACCGAAGAACATAAGCATGTGGTCTGAATTTCTCTTTTAACAGAAAGAGGAAGACTAACAGAAATAACACCATACAATAATATAACACTGATGTAGAAAAAGCAGAAAAACACTCACGTTCTTGGGTTTTATCGGTTTGGGAGAACGGCAGTAGTCTGACAGGAACTTAGCAACTTCCTCTCGAAGGCTTTGGGGAAAAGAACATCAATACTGTGAAATGAAAGCTGAGCATGGGATTTTACACAAACGTTGAGAGTCAAATGAATTACACAATTTACAGAAAAACAAACACAGTTAAAAGAAGTTAAGGAAAAATGGTGGCTTACAAACTGTGGCCTTTCCAGTCGGGGTATTGTAAGATAGCAGGCTCAATCTGAAGCATGTCAGGTCGCATCAGCTGTTAGAGATACCAAGAATCAATCAGCAATGATTGTAACGTGTAATGTCCAGGCTCAATAACAACTTTTTACATTTCTGTGCATATAAAGGCTTTTGAAAGTCTTTCTTGTTGTAACAACACTAAAAAATTCTTCTGAAGACAATGTGAGTGGTGCTTGCCTGTGCAAAACTTGATAGGCTGCTGTAGATGGTTGCTAGGACATTGGTATGCAGTTTCTAAGGTGTTCTGAATGGCATTTAGCTTGTTTTAATTCAGTTGCTATAGGTTGTTTTGGGTGGTTTCTCACTGGCCAAGAGCACATTCCTCCAGACTCCATGATAGTGTGATATATATTTTAATAAAGCAATAAGTCGTGCCTAACAACGCCCCTTAGCTGTTATAAATTCACTGTAAACCACGGCTTCACGGGGCTTATTGCTTTTATAAAACGGTTATTCCATATATGTAGTAAAGTTTCACAGAATAAAACGGAGCAAATAAAGTGTAATGATATAAATAAAAACAGTATTCTTCCACCAAACAATGTAGTTCCTCAGAAACAGTTGTGGTTCCAACAAAGTGGTTGCCGAGCAACACACAGAAGTAAACAAAGCTGTATGTTTGTAGTGTAATTTACAACAGCTTAGAACGTGGCTCAACCAATCAGAAGCAAGGACCGGAACTATCCGTTTTATAATGGGATTCTTTTTCTTTCAATTTTATAGTCTTTGATTTTATGGCCCACCAGGCGAAAATCATCGCTAATGAAAAAGGATCTCTACTAATGAATGCTAAACAAGTAAATCATGATGTCTCTTACTCTTTTCTGCAGGAGGTCAAAGCACAGCTTGTTTTCACTGGTTCCTAAGTTTATAATGCCCTGAAATAAATAGTAAAAACCACAGCAAATTACCACACAGCAGAAGCTAGACAAACACAAAAATTGTATTAAAATGAGCAAACTACACAGATTTGTTTATGAAGCCCCAAGAGACTTGTGGCCTCTGCGGTAACCAAAGCAGTGCCTGTAAAACCAAGACTTGGTTTGTCTTTAACATCAGAAAAAATGAGTACACTCATACAGAGAATGAAGTAAGCGAGTGACTGTAGATGGGTAATATATATTCACAAATGTTATCTAATCTTAGCAGTTTTTTTTTTTTTTTAGATCATCTTGATTTAAATTTGAATATTGTTTAAGAAATTAATGACGAAAATTATTTATAAAGGAACATGAATTTAGTCACACTGCAAGATGATTTAAAATGAACTTATTAAGGAAAAGAGATTATTAAAATTGTACAAAAAGGCCAAGCAGAGTTACACTTTATTTGAAAATGTAATATTTTAATTTAATTTTAACTAGGTTTTATTTTAACACCCCCTCCCACCACAGGTATTGTCTGGTGGTTCTGTACGGTGCAGTAAAATGTCTCTCTCTTTTTTTTTTGTAATAGTCAGTCATGTGTTCATTTCTGCATAAAACATGCAGTATACATTTTTCTTGATTTGAAAAAATAAATGATACATTTTTTACTTTTATATACCTACACTACAGTTCAAAAGTTTGGGGTCAGTAATTTTTTTAAATGTTTTTGAAAGTCTCTTACGATGACCAAGGCTATATTTACTTGCTCAAAAATACAGTAAAAAAGAATATTACAATTTTAAATAAACATATTTTAAAATGTTATTTATTCATGTGATGGTAAAGCTGAATTTTCAGTCTTTAGTGTCACATGATCCTTCAGAAATAATTCTAACATGCTTATTTGCTACTCAAGAAACATGCATTATCATGATGTTGAAAATATTTGTTATTCAAGATTCTTTGAAGAATACAAAACCCAAAAGAGCAGCATTTATTTATTTGCTGCCACATTTAATCAATTTAAAGTGTCCTTGCCAGATTAAATGATTAATTTCATTAAAAAAAAAATCTTACAGTAGTGAGGTTATATAAAAGTATATAATTTATCATATATTTTTCCATATCCAGACCAAAGTACACTACAATTCATGCAGAAATGATTGAAAAAAGGCATCTTACTGCAGTGTATACCCACTGTATACTAAATTAAAAAACAACAACATCTGCAATAATTAATAATAATAAAGCAGTACTGTTTCCAGGGAGACTAACATGAGGGTTTGAATTCTCGTCGTGCACGTTGGCGTGATACTGATTGTAGCCTTCCTGCAGGATTCCCTGGTGCAGCCGCATGCTATTGCCACGGCGGGAAAGGTACGGGCTGTACTGGGCCGTCTGATCACCCCAAAGCATGCTGGGTACAGCTTTGGCACTGTTGGGTAACAAATAGGTTTGTGAGGTACTGGGCACCGGGAGCGTTTCCCTGCTGGTGGAGGCACTCTGGTCTTCCGTCCCACGTGATGAACTCAGGACTTTGGTCAACATGGACATGAGACGAAACTCATGATCTCTCTCCTGCTTTGCTCGTCTCTCCTCCTGCTGCTCCCTCCGCTCCTCGGCCTGCGCCTCCTGCTGCATCCGGGCCTCCTCCAGAGCCAGGAAACGCTCTTCTGCTGTCTGCTGCCAGCTTAGATATCCAGCCAAAGCGTTCGATAACACCCCATCGCCCCCACGTCCCACTCGCCGGCGCTTCCTCTGATGGAACGATCCGGAACCCCCTACTTGGTCGCCATGGCTACCTCCGTCTCTCATCACAATGGGAGCTGTTGCCGGGGATACACCCGCACCGGAGGAGCCGGTCATGTTCTGGTCACTGCAATCTGTGGTGTGATATCATCAGATATTAAACATTCAATCAGTCAATCAGAGATAAAAGACCAAATAGAAACTTAATTAAAAATTAACTAAACAATTATCTCAACATTTTATTAAAGCGACAGTTGGTGTGATAACATGCCAGATAACAGAACATCTGCGGTGCTGAAAGTAAGGCACTGGATGGAAAATCACTGCCAACAGCAGAGACACAACAAATGGTTTGGCATAAATACTGCAATAATGCCTGTGCACCGTTAAACCACACAGACCTTCTAAATAAATATGGAAAATATCAGTTAGAACAGCTAGGAGAGGCTCATAGTTAATCGTTATCTTGATTATACATCCATGCAATGCTATTTTTGCACTGATGCGATGAAAATATTATAAAGAGTTCCTGAAGGTTAACTGATAGAGCAAGCTCACAGGTTTCATGCATATGCTAATGAAATGCCCACAAAATAAATAATAAACATGCCGGCCAAATGCATAATTGTATAAAATATACGCTAGCGTTCAAAAATGTGTGGTCAGTAGGATAATATTTTATTTTTTAAAGAAACTGATACTTTTATTCAGCATGGATGCATTAAACCGATCAATAGTGAAAGTAAAAATATTTATAATGTTGCAAAAGTCTTCTAATTCAAAAAATGCTGTACTTTTGAATTTGGTAATATTCTGAACAAAATGTATCATAGTTTTCCCACAAAATTAAGCAGACGTTTTAAACATTGATAATAATAAAAATTGTTTCTTGAGCATCAAATTAGCATATTAGAATGAATTCTGAAGGATCACGTGACACTGAAGACTGGAGTAATTATGCTGAAAATGTCAGCTTTGCATAACAGGAATAAATTACACTTTTAATATCCATTAAAATGAAAACAGTTACTGGTTTTACTGTATTTTTGATCAAATAAATGCATCCTTTGGTAGGAAAAAAAAGTCTTTCACCAACCCTAAACTTTTGAATAATGGTGTACTGTTAAGCAGATGGTGTTTTGTTACTGTTTCTCTGTAGTTACTGAAGTCAAGGCAGATGTTTTTATATTATTTAAACACGTACATTTGTTTCTGCTTATAAATTGTATATTTTTATTGGATATTGTGCTGATTTAAATATGTGACCAAAGTAACATTTTCTACCTGGCGAACACAGATAATGATTTGTCAAATTAGTAATTGTCAAAATGAAAATAACCTGTGATAGCCATTAGATAGAATGAGTTGACATTACATTGCATGCCATCCTTTTCCAAAAAAAATTAAAAATTATGAATTTATAGCTGTCATGAATAGCCGTATCATGTCCAGGTGTTATTGTAAATTAAAAACACTACTATGTTTCTGTTCACATATATATGTATGTTCATATACATATGGGAAAAATAATTTTAATAAAATTGTGGTGGGGCCAGTGAAAATGCTGAAAGGCCGAAGAAAAATCTGAACAACTTTTGAGAATTAAGTTTGAGAAATTTGCATTTACATACACACTGATCTATCTATCTATGAAACACGTATATGTAATCTGTGTATATTGTGTAGTACATCATGCAGATGATGTTTGGTTTCTGTTGCACTGGAACGTGTATTTACACATCCAAATCTGTTTATCCATTCATCCATCCATACCAACAGACTGTTCATGATACCTGATGGGGAACAGATGACATGCGTGTTACCCTGCTCTCCGTCCATCTCAGTGTTCTCCTCTGTGTTTGGACCCGCATGTTTGTGCTCAGCAGCGCCTGCTTCATCATCCTCATCAACAGGTCCGAACTCATAGAGCATCTCAGGCGGGCCCACCGCTTCATCATCCGAGCTCATCACCTCCGTCTTGATCTCCAGAATCTCACCTGCTCTGGGCGGCTGACCCGGCGCCTCTGACCCCTGCATTCCGGTTACCTGGTTCGTCACCGTGCCGCCCCATAAAGGCAAAGTCGAACCGGAGGTAGCGGCGGATCGGTTACTCTGCGCCCTTTCCATCAGCTCGTAATACCTCGCGGATCTCAAAGTCTTCTGCTTGTACTCCAGCTTCAACTTTTTGATCTTCTCCCTGCACTGATCCCCGGTCCGATTGATGCCCTTCTGCCGCAGAGTGCTGGCGATTCGGTTGAACACATGCTGGTTTCGGAGGCAGGTCACTAGCTCTGTTTGGACTGGCACGTCTGACCAGATCTGCAGCAGCTCCAGCACCTCTGGCTCGGACCAGTTGCTGCCGCGTTCGTACTTTTTACCGTAGACGTGAATCAAATGCATTGCAGCACTACAACTAAAGCTACAGTGTTATGTTTATAGACTGCTGCATGTATGTTCACGCATTGGTATGGTGCCGCGTTTATAGGACTAAAAGCAAATGCATTAAAATAGTAAAACTCCAACGTGTGAGTTACTGTAACCAATCATCTAAAACGAGAGCTGGTACTTTACCCCGAACGGAACCAGATCCCTTTACTTTCTAATAACTGTCTCGATCGTGCATTTTCTGCCCGATGCTTTTGTTCTTTATTCAAACAAGTCCTGATACATCCGGGTTCACGGCACATGCGTGCTGCCCTTATTCCGGGATAAATTTGGACCGTGACAACAAAGAACGGCGCTGCGCATGCGCTGAACGAGGAACGTGGAAGCAAGAGACCCATTTGTTGCATAGGCCCGCCATCTAGCGTTTACACTAGTATTTTTGTAACATTGCATGATATTTATTTACTTATTTACTTTTATTTATTATTTATGAATGTTATTAGATAAGAATAAAAAAACAAAAAAAAACAAAAAAAAAAACAAACAAACAAAAAAAAATAATATATATATATATATATGTTTTTCGTTACTTTAGTGTCTTATGTTTAACACATTACATTAAGTTTCCTCTACCGTACATTAGTTAACATAAACTAACCATTATGATGTTTGGTTTCTGTTGCACTGGAACGTGTATTTACACATCCAAATCTGTTTATCCATTCATCCATCCATACCAACAGACTGTTCATGATACCTGATGGGGAACAGATGACATGCGTGTTACCCTGCTCTCCGTCCATCTCAGTGTTCTCCTCTGTGTTTGGACCCGCATGTTTGTGTTCAGCAGCGCCTTCATCATCCTCGTCAACAGGTCCGAACTCATAGATCATCTCAGGCGGGCCCGCCGCTTCATCATCGGAGCTCATCACCTCCGTCTTGATCTCCAGAATCTCACCTGCTCTGGGCGGCTGACCCGGCGCCTCTGACCCCTGCATTCCGGTTACCTGGTTCGTCACCGTGCCGCCCCATAAAGGCAAAGTCGAACCGGAGGTAGCGGCGGATCGGTTACTCTGCGCCCTTTCCATCAGCTCGTAATACCTCGCGGATCTCAAAGTCTTCTGCTTGTACTCCAGCTTCAACTTTTTGATCTTCTCCCTGCATTGATCCCCGGTCCGATTGATGCCCTTCTGCCGCAGAGTGCTGGCGATTCGGTTGAACACATGCTGGTTTCGGAGGCAGGTCACTAGCTCTGTTTGGACTGGCACGTCTGACCAGATCTGCAGCAGCTCCAGCACCTCTGGCTCGGACCAGTTGCTGCCGCGTTCGTACTTTTTACCGTAGACGTGAATCAAATGCATTGCAGCACTACAAATAAAGCTACAAAAAAAAAAAAAAAAAAAAAAAAACAAACAAACAAAAAAAAATAATATATATATATATATATGTTTTTCGTTACTTTAGTGTCTTATGTTTAACACATTACATTAAGTTTCCACTACCGTACATTAGTTAACATAAACTAACCATTAAAATACTCCTAAAGCACTTATTCATCTGAGTTAAAATTAATTTCTACATTTACAAAAACATTACTGAATACAGTATTAAAATGTGTTTAGCCTACATTATTTGGACACGAGCAAACAAATATCAGTTGTAGTATTTTAATTAATCAACGTTATCAAAGATTAATAAATATTGTAACAAATGTATTGCTCATTGTTAGTTAAGTCAATGCATTAATAAAGTGATACACATTTTCTTATGGTGATTCTCATTGTTGTAATATAGATACTATTTATATTACTGTTACAGTTAACATAAATGAAAAGCAATAAAACAAACTCCACCATGGAGTATAAATAATGTATGACTGAAACAATGTATTCCCCCTTAAATCCATCCTTTCAGTCCTAAACAAGAATGAAAGTGTGATGTAAATAAAGCATTCATTTTTTATTTATTATCTGAGGAAGCTGCAGGCGTAAGATGTGAACCCGTGCTGCCTTTTTTTGTGATACTTTGGCAATAAAATAAAAATGATGGAGGGACAAACAAAATCAGCTTAGCAGGAGCTTGGTTCAGTGAAGATGAATCCTTGAAGGAAATTCTGTTTTCATTCGTGACCTGCATGCTGCTGCTTTCGGAGTAAAAATATTGACAAAACTGTAAATCTAATATATGTCTTTCAAAGCAAACATTATGCTGATTGCATTCGGCTCTCCACACTGAGAAGGATCCAACTGTAATCTGATTCATTCACGGCAATGCAAATTCTGTCATCATTTATTTATTAGTCACCATTCACTTTCATTGTGTACATATGCATTGAAAATGAACAGTTCCTAACATGAACAGTCTTGCAACATTGGTCAGAATATTCATTTCTGGATGAACTGTTTCTTTAAGAACGTTAAAAGAACATTAAATATATATGCATTTACTACTGGTACTGTATTTGAAAGAGGTCTGTGATTAGGTCAAATTTTAATTATGAACAGTGTGTTTGAATCCTGCAGACGGAGCCCGCGAATCGCAGACCCCAAACAGGCGCATGCCATGACGTACTTCCTGGGAATTGTAGGCCATTTGTGATTACCAGGGATTTGTGTACAGATGTATTACGGAGCCCGTTATGTCTGTAGAACAATAAAGAAGACGCTACCGATGGCACGTGACACCACAGAGGTTTTGTTTGCAAACATTTAAATATTAAGTAAACCATGTAAACTGGCAGACACAAGATTAATAAATAATTAAAGATAAAGGACTACAGGAAGACGCGCGCGCCGTTGAAAGTTTCATCGATCTGCGCGCTCTCGCCGCGTGATGCTGAGTTGAGTTCTCGGGGGTCTCGCGGAACGGCTCGAACACTCCGTAACGGTTTATCAGCGGATGTACTTTAAATTTCTGTCGTGAGCGGAGTTCATTTCGGAGCTGTAGTCTGAAATGTTGAGCCCGTTACCGGATTCCGAGGCTCTGTAAAGCGCAATGACAGCTCGGTTCGTGTTTGAGGAGGGGTCAACGGTCTCATATCTGAGGTAAATGACAGTTCGTATGTTTGTCGTTGTTTAATTTAAATAGAACGGAAAACTGAGGTGAAGTTAAAGAAAAGAACGTTTTTATTTACTATTGTATCCTGTCATATTAAGCTTTTACGTTTTAGTCCAACTTCTGAGAGCAGTTTCATATAATTAGCTCTGCATAATATTTGTAAGTTACAGCATATTTGTGTTTTCGCTCATTTTTACAGATGACAAAAAGTGACCGTTTAGTTTTTTTCTTTTACACTCATTGGTTTGAGGAAACCTAATAGGTGTATTATTTTGTAATATCAAACATGTGACCAAAAGGGATAATGTTACTTCACTCAAAAAATAAAAATTCGTTCAACCTACTAATGTTGTTCCAAACCTTTATGGCTTTATTTACACAGTAACACACAAATAGAAACGTTCGCCAGAATGACAGTCACCGGTCACCGTTCACTTTCATTGCATCTGTTTTCCATACAAATAAAATGAACAGTAGTAACGTTAACTGGAGGCTGTCATTCCGCCGCACGCCTCCTTTTGTTTTCCACGAAAGAAAAAAAGCACGTAATAACATTTTCAATTTTCTAAACTGACTCCAAATCCTCCGAAAGATTCATTATCGTATTGCACGCCCAGTGTTTTCAGCGTAATTTAATGGTTTCTGTTACTCTGACTGATTTAGTTCTGCGTGAACCAAATAAAAATTCATAGTGTTTAGTGCAGTAAATATACTCAAAGCGAGCATAAAGGCACTATTGCGATACTCTTTGTCTAACGTAGTTCATATGATGACTGTGTGATGGTCCTTAAAGAATATCAATCATTATATTTATATTATATAAATATTATAAATGTCGTTTGATTCGTCTTGAAACATTCATTCTTTTGGCAGGTTTGCTTTTGAAACCTAGTTTACCCAAAGGGCATTTTTGAAGAGGCAGTGTGGTCATCTTCTGTTCTGATCTTGACAAGAGAGAGAGGAAAAAAGAGGTAGAGATAAACAGGGTATATGTGTGCTCTCTCCCTGTCTAATGAGTGACTAAGCACTTTGGTTCCTGCCCTCACAGAGCCATCATGGATCATTAAAGCTCTAGTAGTTGTAGTTGTGTTTGATGAGGAGTTATTAAGGCATAGTAATTACTGTTCTTTCTTCCCCAGAGAGCATGCTATAAAAATTTGGCCCTCCTAGCCAGCATACAGTAGCATCGCCTGGGATGGCGCCTCTCGCAAGCATGCAATCTGTCAGATCCTCGGAGACAGCTAGATAAGCTTTCTTTCCATTTGATTCAGGCCTTAACGGGTGCTCAGAGTCATTAAATATGAAAAATAAGTCATTTGAATGAAGATTGATGGCCGACCTCTAAAAAGATCCCGAAGTTCTACGTGACTGACTTCACATTAATTTGAATGTCATTTTGGCTTCGTGACCTGTTCCTGAAGCATTGGGAATTTGTGATTTACTAGAAATGCGCTCTGTAATTTTTCGGTTCTTGGAAAGCTGTTGATAACCAATTATTTTCATCGTTTCTGGTCAATGTTGCGGTTGCAACGCAATTACCAGAATTCCCTCTGGCCTGGTTCCACGTTCTGCTTGTAAGCTGAAAAAAAGTGGTCTTCTGCCTTGTTTCCAACACACTAAATAGCACAAAGACCTTGTTAGATCTAATAAAGAGAAGAAAAGACAAGCCACAAGCCCTGTTCGTATGTCAGAACAGCAGTTGTCTTGAAATCAACAGCCTTTCTGTCACATATTACATGTGCTGCGTTCTAAAGGTGAATCCTTCATTACCTCCTACGTTTATAATCCATTAGAAGAAGCTTTCACAAGTGGCTGCATTATTAAATTAGTCTTGTTGAGACAAGCGAAGATTGAATACGGGAGACGGTTAACCTGAATGGCAGTTATCTGACAATGCTGAAAATGGCTAAGAGGCAGAAACCTGACCTCTTTTCCATTACCTGTCTTATAAACTTATTTTAGCTGCTAATTAATTGAATCTTCTTAAAATGAGCTTAATGAAATCTATTAATTGGTTTAAACTATCGATTAGGTTTAGATATGACAGGCATTGCTTTTGCGGTTACAGTGAAACATATGGGTACAGTATCTCTCTTTCTCTCTTCCTCACTGTCTCTCTCATTTTCTGTGCTTGCGGAGGTGTTACATTCGCAGGTTCCATCAGTAAGACACACGTTTTTTTTTCCTCATTCCTCTCCAGCTCACTGCTCTGTGCCAGCCTTTAATGAGCTCTGTAATGCAGATTTTAGA